AGGAAATGTCCATAACACTTCCTTTGGAAGAGCCCACAGCAGATCCAGAAAGCAGATTTGAAATCAGCGCTTCAAGAATTGCCCACCAAACAAGAAATAAAAATTTGATAGAGAATGAAAAAGAGCGTCGAATCTTGCTAAGATCTTCCATAAACTTTTGTTCTGCGACTTCTGGCAATTCAGAAAAAAATGCGAAAATACTTTCAGGACGACCTAATGCTCAGAGACGTTTGAAAGATAATTGAATATTAGGCAAAATTCTTGTTGCAAATTCCTGCAATGCTCTCGTATCATTAGGAGGACGTGGACGTGCCTTGGGTCAAGCGCTATCTTTGCTTGGCTCTGCACCTCTTTCGCGAGCATGCTCTCTAATCATTTTCCCACGCTTGGTTAGCAACTAAAGTTTTTTTTTATGTTCAGGTATGAGAAAACGACCAGAAGGCACGCTCACAAAAGAGGTGCAGAGCTAAGCAAAGCGGTAGCGCTCTTGACCCAAACCGCGCGAGCCCACTCACTCCTAATGGTACAGGATTTTCGAAGCTTCCTACAACGTCTACTATTTCACTCTTACAATGCCTCCGCTTGAACGGAGCTGAATATTCCTTACCTAAGGAGAAGCCGCAAACAAACCAAGAGGTTAACTTGCAACTGTTTAGGGCCACTTTGTAAAACTTTATCAGCCAGGATATCTTTCAAAGACAAGACATTCTAAGGGAAGGACCCTTGGTCAAAGTAGGGTTATCACGCAGGATGCCTATCACTCTGCTGGTCTTGTTACACTAATGCCAAAATCGTATTCCTTGCTCAATGATCCTTTGGGAAAAGTTATGAGTAAATGGTTTTGCCAGGTTGTCCACTATGTCTTGGCTTCGCCAAGCATGAACGAAGGTGTGAACGAATGATCGACTAGATAGATGCGGTGACTAAACGAGTTGTCAAGAGTGCGAATCCCCTATCCCGCCAACATTTCGCAGTTCTGCAAATTGTTTGTTATGCATCCCTAAAGAGTCCTCGATGAGCAGAAATTGACATGAAAGGAGCATAAGATCAAAGAGGGCTCCTCTTCGAACCCCTCACTTTTAGATTTTTTTACATAGGTTCAAACATTTTTTTGCTTACAGTGTTACGCCGCGGGCTACTTGATTCCTTTTACTCCAGTTTATAGGAAAATGTGAGTTGAGGATTTAATCAGCTGGTTTTATTAGTGCTCTTAACGAAAAGTTACTTACTCAGATACTTAGATGGCCCTGCTTTAGGTGACGTGCGGGCCCCAGCGTAGAAGTTTCCGTTTCTCTCTGTCCCTCGCTTCAGATCCACAATCTTCTTGGCTGACGTCGATGGCTGCGTCTACGTGTTCCAGGGGCAAAAATCGTATCCAGCTGATTTCTCAGCTGGTCCATCCGTTTCGTTACGAACACATGCCCACCTCATGCCCTTGTTGGAGGTCTTCCTCGGGGACGTTTTGCTTTGCGAGGAATCCACTGAGATTTTTTTAGGGTCCATCTCTCGTCTGTTCTTCTCATAATGTGACCGGCCCATCGATGCTTCGCTTTCGCAACGTGATCCGCTGGGTCACGAAAGCGGGAAGGTCTTCTCATATCCGTACTGCGAAGTCCACAAAGTTGTTGTTGTTGTTGTTGTTGTTCGTGTCGAGTCATCTTCAGAAAATTGCGCTCAAGCGTTCTGCGGGTGTTCCGTAAAGCTTTTGACGTGGCTACAGTATCGGTCTAAGTCTCAGCTGCGTAACAGAGCGCCGGAAGAACGGTTGAGTCGATCAGGTGGGCACGAAGCTCCGGGTCCGTCAGTTGGTCGGTGGTTTCATTCAGAGGCCCGAAAGCGGCCCAGGCTGCTTTTCTTCTCCTGTTAAGTTCTTCTCTCAAGTCGTTCTCCATGCTTATCGAACGTCCGAGATACATGTAAGAAGACGGCTCCATGATATGAGTGCCTTTTAATGCCATTTCTGCATCTTTGCAAAACGTTTTTTATGATTTGGATATTCTTCCGATTTATTCGCAGTCCTATCTTCTTTCCTGCTTCGTTTAATTCAGCATCGTCTCTGCTTTTGATACTGCTCGAAAAGGGGATGATGTCGTCCGCAAAACGAAGGTTCAACAGAGATCCCCTATCATCTCGTATGCCTCTCTCGCCCCAGTCCAATGACTTCATCACCCAATGCAAGGCCGCGGTGAACGGCTTCGGCGAAATTGTGTCGCCTTGTCGGACTTCCTTCCCGAAAGGGAGAGTCAGGGGGCGACGGAACAGCTGCATCGTCGTTGTACAGTCTTTGTAACACTCGGCTAGTGTCCTCACGTAAGCTGGGTCCACTCCTTGATCGACTAGCGTGACTAGCGCTGGCAGGATGGCTTTGGTTCCGACGCTATCAAATTCTTTCTCATAGTCGAAGGTTAGGACGAGAGGCAGTCGGTACTCCCGGCAGACTTTTGTGACCCTCGAAAACGTCTGGATATGGTCCATGCAGATGAATCCTTTGCGAAGTCCAGCTTTTTCTGGGGTGGGGCTTCATCCAGTGTCCTAGATATGCGAGCGAGGATAATCTTTGGAAAAGCTTGTACAACACACTCAGCAGGCATATTGGACGGTAAATCCGAAGATCCTTTCACCCTTTTTGAAAAGAAGGACGGTCCTTGACGTTCTGATCGGGAATCCTCTCCCTCTGAAGGTAAGATGTCAGGTGCGACGCGAGAATCTCGTGTAGATGTTGTCCTCCGGCTCGCAGAAATTCGACGGAAAAGTGGTCTGGCCTTGGTGCCGTGGACGTCTTCATGGTCTGAATCGGTCGCACTTCAGCAGGTAGAATTCGTGCTGTTACTTCTCCAGTAGGAACAGCGATATATTCCATCTTGTATCGGGAAGAATTCGGAGTCCCGTCTGCGTTTAATAGTGCAGCCAGCGGTACGTGATATTCACAGTGATCCCTTTGGCACTTCTTGAGACTTCGTCTTTCTTCGGCTGCCAGTATCTTGGCTTGCCTGTGCTTCCTGAGGTCCTTCTGCAAAGCTGTTCTACAGTAGGCGTTGGTTATCAGTCGCTCGAGATAAGTTGCTTTCGGATACAGCCTCAGAAATTTTTTCCTTTCGAGCATTTCCTTGGTGGTCTTCGAAATGCTTTCCAAGTTCTTTCCAAAAGTCACTGAGGCGCACTCTCCGCAGGCTCGCAATCCTTTCAGAAGCTGGTGTAGTCGTACGTGGGTCCTCCTCGTACCATCATAAACGACATTCTTCCTTCTTGCGGCACTGCGGCAGACCTTCTTTCCCACCTTTCGACTGAATCGTTCTTCGCTCGAAGGAGGCGGTGATCAGAGCCACTGCAGAAGGATGAAATTACTACGACGTCGAGCAAGCTCCACCTTCGGTTGCTGAGAATGTGGTCGATCTCCGCGTGAGTCGTTCCATCGTTCAATTCCTACATCCGCGATGTTCTTTCTTAAGATGGAATTTTCGTAGAAAAGTCGTGCGGCGGAGAGAAGCCTGTGAGAAGTCAATGCATGTTAAACATATTGTTTCTACTACCAGTTCGTGAATAGTTCAATCATAACTTATAATAACGGGCCAAGGGTGTTTACGTCTTTGTGTGTGTGTTTGTGTATGTTGTGTGTGTCTGTTACGAGAATTCGTAGAGCGTGTTCCAGCCAACGTCCTAAACCGAAATTCTGCATAGTGCACGCTACCTGCATGAAAGCCCACCATGCAAAAGCATGAGCGGATCCGTTGAGTGGATCCGTTGAAAATTGCGCGTCAAGCGGTTCCACTTGGCTTCTGACCAGCAAAATTGGGCCGGTACCAACACTTTTTGCGAAGTCATGAATATGTTTGACAGGCTAATGTGCAGGCCATGGACAATAACCCAAACAATTTAACCAAAGCTGATTAGTTTACGAAAACGGCGCCAAAAAGAACAAGTTGCATAAATGTTCAATTTGCCAAGATTTCAAATGAACGTTTGAAGATTTTTGCACAGGGATGTAGCCCACAATGATTATTGTCGTTATGGCGATCATCAAGCCATAAAAAGTTTGAAAACCAATTCAAATTCGCAATAATTCTTCTCGGGAAAGTTTCATCCACGCGAAAATACCGATCTCACACAAAAAAACTCTAGGAATGAGTAGTTGTTTACAAATCATTCGTGATAGTCTGCATGGCTCGGTGAGTTTCAATGTCATTATTATGCGGGAACGAGTTAGGCGTACAGAAAGTTGGGCTAGTGCGAGCCTCTTCGAATCAGAGGTGACGCACTGGTAACAAAATATAGGAATACTTTGCGATAGTCGGCTGTTTGCTAATGTTTCAAGTCGTCAAACAAGTTACAATTTGCTAGAGCGTCTTTTTGCTTCAAGGACCCTGTGATACATATTGAACGATTTGCAAAAATGCAAAAATCTGTCGGTATATAGGGGATTTGGACTCTTGACCACCTGTTTCGTGTTCCCCACAGCTATCCACTTCGTCGTTTGTGCGCACCTGTGCGTACTTGGTGCCACTTACTTACAGCGAGCCGTGGTCATCCTAGGAAACTATCACTCATAACTTTTCTCATCACTGAGCAGCTAAAAACAGGATCTAGTATTAGTGCCCAAGGGCAAAATGATGTGCACCACGTGTGGAAACCCCACTCCGAGTCATTCCTTTGTAAGATCCGAATCGATGACATTCAATAAAAAATTTTGACAGTGTCGATAACCCTTTTTTTAGAAAGCTAATACGATTTATTTTATCACTCTACCAATCTTTCGTATCGTTGACAAGACTAAGAAAAAGATTTGCATTGGTTTATAACCTCAAGAGGATATGAGTAACCATCTTGTGTAAGTCTTAGGTGATTTATCTTGTGTTACTTTGATTCGTTACATAGCTCCTAAATACCATACATCTTCATTTGCACCAATCTTTTTCTTCATATGAAAAATGAAATGTGTTTATTACGTAATGATGAGTGGTTCGATAACATTGCTTTTTTGCGTGTGTTCCTCCTTTGTTCACATAGTGGATAGCTGTCATGCTAATTCTTTGCTGTTCTTTGACACTGATAATGAAAAACAGTAAGTTGCTTACAATCTCATTTCAAGTTTTTTCAATTTCTAACAATAACTTCTTTACTAAGATAATGCATTTCAATCTGCTTGACTCTCTTCTAAAATTTTGCGGTACGTCAATTAGAGCTATACATAGCTTTGCTTTCATTTTTATGATTAGTGTTTTATAGTACAAGTCCAGAACATCAGTCACCAATGAACTCTGATTTGAATATACAAGTGTCTCAAAATTGTTGCTAACTCCAATTTTGTATATGTAGTTAAGATAGATAGAAGCAGTGATGTCGACAGCCTTCATACTTTTCTTCCTTTTGCTGAAACAATCGGCGTTGGCCGCAGAAATGGAACTGCTTCTTGTACATGCGGTAAGAGCCGATGCGTTTTACCCATGCAAGAAATACTATTGAATTCAGCTTTGGAGGCACGGAGACCGATCACCAACAAAAACATTCCCAAAAGACCCCATACAAGAGGATGACTGGAAATTTGGAGGCGGGGGTTTTGGACAACTCTCACCGGTGAGTTATTATCCTAAAAGTGATGATTGTATTTGCGTCTTCGTCATTTTGCATGTTCTGAATTATGTTCCGAAAAAGGGCTTATCATGGCCTATCTACGCCGATTTCTTAGCTTATAAAGATGGAAATCTTATGAAGCAAAAAGGCGCAGAAATTTTGAGGTGCCATTTCGGCATTTGATGATTTTTGCGTTATAAGTAAGTGATTTTGCGCAAATTGTCATCGATTATGGAAATTGGAAGATGGCGTTTTCGTCACTTTAAGAAAAAGGGGATTAGCTTGAAATCAAGGGTTAATCAGGATGTTGAACAGAACTTTCTGGGGATGGGCGGAACGTTTTGCATTGAAAATGGTTAGACAAGGAGAAGACGGTGGACCATACCGTGCAACCTAACTGCACGTTTAGCCGAGGCCATAGCAGAGAATAAGCCCAATATACAGATCTAGTGCGTCTTTTGGCTTGACGAAGCATGACCTTCTACGGCAAACGTCGTCAAAACGTCCTCCAAGATTTGACTAGAGGCACTTCGATACATAACGTACTCCTCAAATCTTGCTCTGTCAGATTATCATTGCTATCTTTCGCAAGCTCTATGAATGGTGCATGTCTCGACTTAAAGACTAATCTGAACGCTCGCTGATCAGATAATTTTCTTGGGGTTGGGCGCGCTGCCGTTTGAGAAACTTTGAGAAATTTATATTGCAAAAGTGACAGGAATGTGACAAAAGGCCTTTAATCAAGAATGCATTACTTACCGATTTTTGTTGGAAATTAGTGTTTTTGATTACGCACGAACTTTTGGAACAACTTAAATATACGTGAAAATTCAGATCGGAATGCGACAACACTATAACCTCGGCAGACAAATTAGACGACGATACATCGACAGACTCGGATTTCTGTCAAAAAAGTATTCATCAAAAGAGGTATAAACTGTTGGCTCCATCGCTTTATCTGATCGAAAGACATACATAATAATACATTTCCTGTTCAACGTTTTGAAGATATACGTCCGCTCAACTGATTTCAATAGAACAATAATATCGGCACTGTCGAATCTGATGGGAATGTATGGTTATAACCATGGTCACAGCGAAAAAAATGTCGATTATCCAGATGTAGAAGGATGGCCTACAGGATATGTTCCTATTGCAGTACACACGGTTGAAGCGGCCACAGACTATGTAAGATTTTTTGGTTTGTTCATTAAAAAGCCACTACTGAGCATAGCGTTTTCGCATTTTACTTCAAAAAGCCAATTGCTCTGTTCTTGAAGCATCCGAGTCGATGTCTAAAAATCTGGGAAGTTCTATTTGAGGAAAAAATGAAAACGAGACTCAAGTCTTTCAAGCTGCGCTAGTGCTGTGTGCCAGTGACTTTTTCTTTGGGTTGAGGCCGTCCTTCCCGGCAACATGATGGGGAATTTAGAGCGTTGCGGTGGCTATCCCCCCTCCTCAACTAATCTAATATTAGTGAAATCTACAGCGAAAAAGCGCGTCTGGAAAGCATGAAATCCACTTTTCTTGTTTTAGGGATCTGTCTTAGGGTCTTACGGAGTCTTAGGGATCCTTTTCTTTGTTCCAGACCCCGCTCACTTACACGTATTTTGCAACGAGTGTGGACATGAAAAGCTTCAAAGTTCTCATTTTCGCCACTTTTTCTCTGCAAAGCCCAGATGAGGGTCCAGCATAACGAGAGGGCTCTGAAGAAGTAAAAACCGGAGAACGAGATTTTTCCGGAGCGATGCCTGTAAGGCTTTGATGCACAGCTTTTATAAAAATTTTACCATTTTGATAGAGCTTGTTTTTTCTTTTGGATCGCTTCACTCTTTTATGAAAACCATGAAAAAACAAGTCAGCAGCTTTTCACAAACACGAAACAATAGTACACCTAGGGTAAAAAGCTGTAAATACGGGTTTGTAGACCTCCCTGTGATTCGCCGACGAGTTGAAGAACGATCAAAATATTTGATATCTTTATCACGACACCAGCTCTGTCCGATAAATCACAGTCGACGACAAAATTCTTTTGTCTAAATGAGCAATTCTTTATAGTATTTGTTCCCAGGGAAGAATACTAACAAGGGAATGGCAGGACTCATACCAGCCGTTCCAAACAAGCTGTAAATCATCGGTTTCGTCTTAAATCGCTGATTTTATATACCTTTTTTATCTGCCAAGCGACTATCTAGAAGGCCCGATGGCGCAGATTTACAGTGGCTATGAATTTCAATTACAAGGAACAAGCAAGTGCACTAAAAAACTAAATGAGTGTTTTTGAAACCTATTTCGTAGAACATGCGTTACAGAACACTCAAATCGCACACTCCAACGCTCAAAACCAGGGTCAAGCGTGGGGTGCGGCACGCCACACCTGAGGGGTCGTATTGAGGAGTCAAAAGGGGAGGGGGTCGTAGTTGGGTAATCTGATAATAGTGTAACATGATATTCGTATCGTATCCATACTTAGTATGTCAAATAACCCCTGTAGACAAAGTGTGAGCGAATTCTGAAGATTCAAGATACCAGGCTACCTAAGTGAAATGGTCAAATTCCAACATGGTTAATTTTGTTTCAAAGGTGAATTAGCTATCCGTTCTTGCACTCAGGACAAAGCACTACTCCATCTTTGTCCACCTCCTTCAAAAGACCTGCAAATTGTGGAATTAGGAGCCAACCAGAATCTCGTTTTTCCCTCTTTTCGCTTTTGATCGCTGTGCTTTCACCAAATATTACTCAGAGCTAAAAAGACGAATCAGGCTCCAAAAACATTTTTAGCGGACAGTACTTATATGAATCGATAGCCTAGATCTCTAGTTTTCACAGGAGCAATTTGAGCCTGATTCGTTTTCTTTGCTCTGAGTGATATTTGGTGAAAGCACAGCCATTGAAAACGAAAAACGGAGTCAAATTTCTTTGTGTTCATTAGGGTGCCTTCATACCGCGCCGGCAGCCGCCGCTGGCAGCCCGTAGCAGCCCGCAGCAGCCGCTGGCAGCCCGTAGCAGCCCGTAGCAGCCGCCAGCAGCCCGTAGCAGCCGCCAGCAGCCCGTAGCCGCCGCTGGCCGCCTTTGTCATAGAAGCGCAAATCATCAAATTCTTAGTCCTTTCCTGCGCCTGCCCATATTTTCCATCTTCAACGCCGATGTGATATGACTGAAGCAGAACATACCTAAAAAAATCAACAAATAGCAACCTGCAGGAACTGGACGCATCCAAAGTCAGAAGAAATCACATTGCGAAGAAACTTTGGTGAAATATGGTTCAATTGCGAGAGGGAAACTGAGCATCGATAGGATAACCAATCTACGGTAACAAGATAATAACAAGAACGGACAAGGTATGTTGTTATATGAGATGAAACTGCGGCAACAGAAAGGAATAAGCGTGGAGGATGGAGGGTAGGCGGTTGCACTTAAAATAGTAAGAATTTGATGATTTTGCGCTTGTATGACAAAAGCGGCCAGCGGCGGACGGGCTGCCACGGGCTGCCGGCGGCTGCTGCGGGCTGCTGCGGGCTGCTGGCGGCTGCTACGGGCTGCCAGCGGCTGCTACGGGCTGCCAGCGGCGGCTGCCGGTGCGGTATGAAGGCACCCTAATTTGCTTGATTCTTATCGGAGAGGGGAGTTTGTTCGAGGTTACCTTTTGTATACCGATTGTACAGCGGGAATCAAAGTTGTTAAGTTGCTTGATGAAGAGAACAAATGCCTGGGCATTTTTACCTCTTTACTTTGAAGACTGAGCAAGCTCTGCGATAGAAGACTGAGCGTCATGAAAGAGTTTCTGAATTACCAACACTTACTTCCACTCTCGCCAACTTGCTTCGATCAAGCTTCAAATACACGTTGTTAAGTTGTTGCCAGCGGAACACGAATCAACTATATGCAAAAGGCGTAATCAGTTGCGCAAAATCGCACAGGAATCCGAAGAAGCAAAAGCCTTCCTCACCAGTCATGAAGTGAGTTTGATTGATTGAATATATATGCTATATTATCTGGAAACAAAGCTTTGAGAGTACTTTTGTAACTTTTCTCTTCATCGATTGTAGTGCGCTATTCCTAAGTAGTGTGATACAAGTTTGCAGAAACTGTTTGATTTTTGAGCAGTTTGCATGGGCAAATTCCAAAATCTGGTTTTACTCGGTGATGAGGTGACAAAAATAAAGTTTTTCGCAATCTAAGCTAAATCAGGTCGAAACTGCACACGAACATTTGCTAAACAGTTTTTGTAGTTCAGACTTTGTGTGCTCGCACCAGACAGTAAACTGTATTTTTGGATTTTGACTAATACCCACTTTCCTGCGAGACAAACCAACTTTCGCAAACTCTAGCTTGCCTCGTTATCAAAAATCACACAGCTTATGCAATTTTCTCGCCCACAATAAACCCTACAATGTGCCAAATTTTGGGCGCACCACACTCAAAAAGGAAAAAGTCGTGAAGTTGATTGCGTTTATTTATTTGACAATCAGATGACTGTGCTTAGATAGCATGCAATTACTGGACAGAGATTTGTGTTCAGGTTGTCGAGTTGTTCAAAAACTTAACTGCTTTTTGTGGACAGAATATTACCGTTAACAATTTCTGGAGTATACGTGATATACTTATGATCGAGGTGAGTTGAAAAAGCACGATTTTGAGTATGAAGGCTCACATGAATACGCCTAGTGCGACGTACAAAGCCTATCAATTGCAGAGTTGGGTGCACCACCGTCTCCGCCTCCGCGCTGCCGCCTCACCTAGACGCTGCACCTCTTCCGCAGACATGCTGTCTTATCACAATCCACACGAACATGGAAAAGGCGGAGCTTCAATCGCTGATCAAGCGTGCGAAATTGATTGAAGAGCATGCTCGTGAAAGAGGCGCAGAGTCCAGGCGAGACGGCCACGCTGGAGCGGAGGTGCTGGTGCAAATTGGTAAGCCCTGTATCTTCTTATACATCGCACAAGTATAAGCGCATACCGTAGTACCCTTTCTTTCAATAGCATTGGCGGCAAGAAGGCGACCGCTCGCACCCGCAACGCACTCTGCGTCTTGCTCGCGCGCGTGCTTTCTAATCTTTCCCTAGCCTTAATTAGGCCTCGTAGCCCCACCTCCCACCACTAATTCCCTTGAATCAAAGGATATATGATGTATGCACATGTGGTAGTCATGAGGTAGAAATCTTGGAAGATTTCTTTTGGGATTCGTATAAGAAAAGTCTTCCCTATTATCATAAGATGCATTTTAAAACGCTCGAGTCTGTCCTTATTATCTGTAAGATGCTCTTTGAAAAATACTGTATACAGTACATTTTCTAAAACGTGCGATACATCACATAGTCAAAATCTGCGGCGATAAAGGTTTTTTGCATACCGAAGACAAAAACCATGGATTGCAAGCGATTTAGCTTTCGAATTTAGTAGACTACTGAGCAAATTAGCACTTATAATTTTGATGCTTCGCAGGCGTGCAACTTGCTGTTCAAAAAAAAAACTCAATAGTTTGCTCAAAGACCGCATCGCAGATACTGAATTTGGTGTTAACCAATATTGGGTGCCACTACGCTGAAGGAATTGTTTATTCGGGAAACAATTCCAGTGGAATATAGATTTGGCGAGACGAGTCCAGAAGTGAGCATCCAGGTCTATTTATGCCACTATTTTGGGCGTGGCAACCTAGATGCTTCCTTCTGGCAAACAATAGTATCATACAGGTATCACTCGAAAATTATTGATGCTTACATGAAAGTAATAGCCGCCAAGTGTGCTATCAAGCAGCAATGGGGGGTGACCTTCGCGGCTTAAGTGTTCCACGCTAGGATGGTTTGTCAACGACAAGAATAATATACAATGTAAAATAATGGTCGATAATTATTCTATTATTATCGACACCGAAAGCATATGAACTTATTGCCTTGAAAGCAACGTGATGTGCATCTTATCAATACCGGTGCCAAAGTATTTCTCTTAAAGGCACCGTCCACCCAAAATGGAAGTTCGACCATGGTCGCCCTGCCCACTTGCATGCTTTATCTCGCCTGCGCTTGTTGCAGAGGGTTCTCGAAACAGGGATTTTTGGGGGTTTCGCCGATTTTCGACTCCATATTCGGATTCAGGGCTTTCAGAAGGCCTGAAGGCGACAAAACCATTGAATTCGAGATTTTGAGTGGACGGTGCCTTTAAGTGGCTTGTATCAATGTCCAGTTTGAAACTATCACGTTGATTTGCATGGGACATTACTGCGATACGCAAGATCTACATAAGAGTTCAGTTGTTCGAATTCATCGAAATTCTACATAAGTTAGCTGGAGCAAGAATCAAAAACTATTTATCGTCGTGGGTTAGAATGTGAGAAAGTGGCGTAGTAGTATGAGGTGTCGTCATGACCAGGTCGGACCAAGGTTCAATCCCTCCCCTAAACCAACCAGCTTCATTTTCGGCAAAATGCGTACATTCTTGCACAGGCTGACCATGCTCTTCAACATGTACTGATTAGTCTCTTCGATTTGTCAGTTTAAAAAGCTTTTTTTGGTCTTGAAAATTGCGGAAAAAGAACAAAACTTTCGACTATACTCTTGGACTTGCGGCATACGTCATCAGCACTGAGCAAGTCGTGAGCCTGAGGTGTACTTTAATATATAACGCAATCCTCAGTTCTCGCTTCAGCAGTTTTTTGCTTGTTCCTCTCCCTCGTTAATCTAACGCGCTTGTTTCGATCTCAGAGGAAATTCAAAAGTTATCGATGCAACACATTATTGCAAAAAGTGATTGATATTTCAGCGGCAGATGTCAAAAATCGTGCGCTACAGCAACAAATATAGTACTATTTTGCAAGACAACTTTGTTGTACTTTGCCAAAAAGCGTCGGATTTCTGCGCAGCATTGTTCAAAGAAAATCATAAGCATAAAGCAATAGAAAAGAATTTTCTAGGGGAATTAGTGATGAACTGTTGAAAAGCATGCCCATTTGTCTTGCGGCGATAAGTCGTACACTTCACATTTTTGATAGGACTCCAAGGTACAAGATACGCAAAAGTTCGGTCCAGCTTCGACCCACCGTAAACTTTCTTTCAGAATCTGAGTCGTACTGAAGCTCAAAAAATTAAGAAAAATTCATATCTTCGTTGAAAAAGTCCTACGGTTCGCATTTATTCCTGATCTAATCGAGAAAACGAAAGTATAATATTAATGTTCCAACAAAAACGAAGCTATGTTGTTTCCACTTCATGTAATTGTATACCACAAGCCCTTAGTCATAGGCCCTAGTTCTTAAAAATCATCAAATTTAGTTTTCCTTAGTCGGCTGTTCCATGCTGAAATCAATATTTTTCTTCGTTTTTTCTTTCGTAAGAGCAGGAAAATTTTCGTTTTACGATTTATAGATGAGGAAAAAGTCCAGGAATGATATGTCTAAGTGGTATGCAGTTTGTGTAAACAGCTTGGAGACCCGCTAGTCTTTTTTTTACGAAGATATGAATTTTTCTTTCATTTTTGAGCCTTCAGTACGACTCAGATTTTGGATGCCAACTTACGGCGGGTCGAAGCTGATGCGAGCTTTTACACCATCTTGTAGAGCTTGCTTTGCTCTATCCTATGGTATCCTGGAGACCCATTAAATATGAAGCGCACGACTTACCGCCGTAAGAAGCTTAAGTGTAACAAGACTCATGTTACAACATACTGGCGTACAAACGGTTACTCGTACAAACATCAGCTAATCTCTTGATGCCAATCACTCTTAGTGATGATGTTTTAACCAAAAAAAACAATACTTACTACTGCTTCAAATTCAAATGGCCTCTTCATGTTTTCGTTCAATGTTATCATTCGGTATTACACTCGGCCGAACTGTTACAGTAAAAGATTCAGTTTTGAGTAAAGAGGGTGAGGCAAAAGTCTAGGAGCCCCCTCGCGATATTGTAGATTACAATACTACCGATTATTTTGATTCCAAATTTATGCCACGTAATGCTGCAATTATCCTTCATGAACCACACTTTACCTAACAAAACCACTATGTAAGAATGAAATTTATTGAAAAAGTGTTTGTGCAGAGCGAGAATTTCGAGCAGTACTACAGTTTCTTTCATAGCTGAAGATACTGTATTTTCACATTTTGATGCATATAATGTAGAGGAGGCTTTGCGCTATCACATCGAGTGGTTGTGTTTACCTGGAACAATTCTTTCAAAAATCTAGAACAAAAATTAATATTAGGTTGTTACACAACTTATGCTACACTTTAACTCTTTACGGTCATATATCGGACATTTCGAATTTTTAATAGTTCCCAGGATACCCGACGCAAAGCAAGCTTTACAAGATGTTATGCAAAAGTTTGCACCAGCTTCAAACCACCTTAAGTTTGCATTTAGAATCTGAATTGCAATGAAGGCTCAAAAAAAACAGAGAAAATTTAATATTTTCTTCCAAAGATATCCTACGGATCTCCAACTTGCTCACACAAATTGCACACCACATTAGACATTCATATGTGCCGTTCCTGCATTTTCCTTTCTTGTCTATAAACCGCGAAAACAAAACTTTTTATGCTTATACAAAAACAAACTACGCTGTTCCCATACATACAATCTTATAGTACAAGACTTCAAAAGTATAGCCGCAAACTTTCCGCTCCACACAGCCCTAGTAATTCCCGAAAATTACCGAATTTAGCTTCCCTCGCTTGAGTGTATCATTCTAAACTCAATATTTTTCGAGAAGGCCGGAAATTTGCGGTGATTCAAGGGCCTGTAGTTACGATTATATGAGTGGAAACAGCATAGTTTTTTTGTAAAAAAATTTTTTCTCGATTTCTAGATGAGAAAAAAGTACAGGAGCTGTACATATAAGGCCTGTAGTAAAGCTTGATCAGTTGAGGTGAACTCAACTTATCCCATCAGTTAAGCTTAGGTGAGGTGAACTGATGACCGTCCACCTTCCCATGCTTTAAGATGGTCAAGTCAACTGATAGTTGGCCATCTGTCCACCTGCTGCAGTCAACTGTTCTACATCCGTTCACGTTGAGTTGAACTGAACGTGAATGGTTGTTAGAGGAATGCAAATAGCGTGTAAAAGAGGAGACGCAGACAAGAGTTGACTGCATCTAACATAAGTTGCTCCTGAGTAACTACGATACACACAACTTTGCCAAAAAATGCAGAAAAAATCGGCGCAAAACTGCACAACTGCGCCCGAAAGGGAGAGGATCGATGAACAACTGATTTTGGCGAGGAAAACAAAAAAAAACAAATTCTTCTCTTTTTTGTAATTATTACTGATTTTTTCCTCACTGGCTGTATAAGACGAAAACTCATTTATTCATTTCATTGAATACACGCTACTATCATTTCGTTTTTTCACAAAATTTTCGTCACAAATTGTGTTTTTGTTTAATCCGTGTATTTGCTTGGCGAAGTCCTTGATAGCGTTCATCATCGATTGCCATAGTGGCCGCATCAAAGATTGCCCGGCGATGCATCAAAAAGCGAGTTGGTAGACGGAGTCGATCCATTGCCGCGCGCGCGTAATTCCAATCGCTTACCCGTTTGCCCAAACCAGCTTGAGTGTTTCTTTTTCAAGTACACATTTGATTGCAATGCCTCGGCAGTGATCCGCATCCAAATCAATAGCTCGCCGTATGCTGGACTGAGGCGCGATGACCTCAACTCCGGTCCATGTCGAGAGAGATGCCTTGATAGGAGGTTTACTACGGGCCTAAGTGTCTGACTTGGTGTGTAATTGGGTGAGCAAGCTGGAGATCCGTGGGATTTTTTCGAACGAAGATATGGCCTTTTCCAATTTTTCAGCTTTCGGTACGACTCGGATTCTAAATGCAGGCTTACGGTGGGTCGAATTTGATGCGAAGTTTTGCAGACCATCCTGTAAAGCTGGTTTGCTTTATCGAATGTTGCCCTGAGCCTATCAAAAACATGAAGTGTACGACTTATCGCAGTAAGAACTTGCAGTGTAACAAGACTTATGTGAAAACCCAATTACCTGCGTGCCAGTGGCTATCTGTTTTCATAACAAATTTGAAAGCTATAGCGCAGCGGCAATAAGTTTCAGGCCATATTGTTTCCACAAGACTTCTAAATCTTATATATAAAGTTGAATGTGTGTATGTATGTCTGTATGTCTGTTTGTATGTACGTATGTGCGGAATAGAAATTTTTATTTCTGAACCGATTTGGACCAAACTTGGCACACATATACGTCGGGGCAGGGAGCGTGTCATAGGCTACTTTTCGTTGTCGATCGATATCGATTTTATCGATTTTTTGCAAAATTTGAGCTACGGGGCTGGGAGTTGGCACAGGGGGGTAATCGAGCATGCTGATTACGAATATAATAATGACAGGGTCGGGCGGAGCTGGGTTTGCCAGCTAGTAACCATCTAAAATTGAATTCGGTCGTTGGAGAAAATTCAGTACTTTCCAAATTATGATTCTTCGTTACCGATAGCGCAACCGCATCCAATTTTCCAGTATGCGAGTACGCTTGCCTTCACTTTGAATTCCAAAATATTTCCTAAATGTGCAAAAAACATTTTTGCAATGTTGTTGTCCAAAAGCTTGCTCTACCATACTGCGCATTTGCCTAGCGAAAGAAGCGGTTATTGCGAAGGCGCGGGGGAAATTTCGACGTTCCTTTTGTATAAACAAAAGTTTCAGCAAATACATAAAAAGGATAGACTGCGAAATGAAAGCAAATGGTTTTCGGACGAGCTTTTCAAGAAGATGACTGAAGTCGACATTCGCATAGAGCCCTATCAAGCAGCTACCTTCAGTAAGTTTTTAAACTAATTTTAAGGATTTACACTTACTCCTCCTGTCAACACCCTTCAGTCGAATTCAGCGAAAGCGTAACTCTCCAAAAAGGAGGATTAAAAAAACATTTATTACATAGAGTTTTTCTATGCACATTGATTCTGCTGTCTCCTTTAGAGAAAAGTACCATTAGGCCTCGGACAGAGTTCACGCGATTTGATCGCCGCGATTTCCATTCACGCTCATTTTACATCTAAAAAATTTCGAGCTGGAAAAGTATCACAATCGATTTGCAAGCTGATCGGCATGCAAGGAACTCGTAACAGTTGTCTTGTATCGATTGAATCGCGACGATCAAATCGCGTGAACTCTGTCCGAGGCCTTAGAGTGTAAATCCAAAATGAACGCAGCAATCATTTAGGCATGGATTCAGACTCTAATATCTCATGTAACCAACCTTGCCGCTTATATCCTGAGTGACAGCTAAGGCGCGACCAACGTGGAGAATATTTGGCAACTATCCATAAACTTGGCAATGATATCCTTAAGCTAGCTCTGCTCGTAAGAAAACTTAAATGATGTGTAAGACAGATATGGATTCACCTTTTGAAGGCGCATTCACTGAGTATGGGACTAATTCATGTTTTAACAAGATTCAATTAAAAATGGTTTATTAACTTAGAGAGTACTTACTTGCATCACTATCAAGTTTCAGACCCCAATAGTAAAAAATCAGTTTCAGATTCAAGAATTTTTTTTCCAATTGGAGACGGCTTGTATTACGTTAGCCATCAAGACGTCATAGAAACAGCTCTGAAGGCTTTCTTGAAGATACTATAATTTAAACGCTTCAATTCCAAAGTTTATTCCAGTATCTTAGGGATACACTTTTTTGGTGATCTCAAGGGTCTCAGCGCTGAATAATGTAATGGCTGAGGTCAGTAGAACAAAATGACAACAATCAAAATTTGTCAAAATACGATTTAGAAAGTTCTGTTTCCTGTTTACCATCATTACGAAACTTAGTACATAGTTTGCGAGGAAAATTGGAGACTGCGAGGGCTTGAATATATCATTGAGCTATCATTGTAGCTATTCAGTTCCCAGTACTGACAGTCAAAAGTTTTGTTTTCCCGTATTTATTCTAATATAAATAAAGCTACAATGAGGCATTACTTAACTATCCGTACCTTTATCGAAAGGTAAATTAATGAGATTTGCCCCAAATGTCATTGCCCATTTTTTGGATAATCGCAAGATCTTTTCGAGGTTGTTCGCGAACTCAATTTTTTCCCGCGGTTAGAGGCGGCAGACCTCCTTAACGTAATTTGAGAGACACGCTAAAACTACACGGGGCATTTTTGGAAAACAATTTCTTAGAAAATGACCATACGTGAACTTGAAAAATCAAAAAAAAAACGAGAACTAACGAACAATTTGGAAAAAACCAAGAGTTTGAGGACAAAGGAGATCTTAGGACTACTGCCTTCTACTAGTGCACGTTCAAATAACAGCCCTCAGTCTTGTATAGCTTCCACCTGGGTCAGAAAATTCAAAGAACAACAAAGTCGATAAGAAAAGGAACGCAAGAACCCCAGAAGGAGCTAAGGGGCGAGCTGAGGCAGCATGCCCTCTAAGTGCTTCTTCTTTTAGCGAGGGGGTAATCGCATGAACATTCAGGGTGTCCCAAAAAAGTGTGCCTACCATCTGATTCATAATAACTCACTTGTCATGAAGTCTTTGGAGAAGCTTTGGACATTTTGTAGAACTGGCTCCAACTAGACTTACAGTGCAGAGAACTGGCTCCAACTTATTGTTAGACTTACAGTGCAGAGCAAATCATTTATCTCCTTTCATTACTACAGGACTACGGTAGAAATTTTAAAAGGATTTCGAGCCATGGAGGGTCATATTTTGGCTGAAAAAGGAAACAAAACGATCTGAAAACATTACAATACGTTCAATTTTCTATTGTGCCAAACAGGTTTGATAAGTGGTCTTTATTTCTTTCCAATCACGGCCTTACGTTTCGACGCCTTTCGTCTTCCTCAGAGGCCTGAATGGTTCTAAGTGTTATCCGTAACTCCAGACCACCAAGCGTCTCCTCCCGCTCTGCTAGTTCTCGGCCTTCTCACAATCTCGCTACCAAATAAAATGTCAGTGTAGCAGGACATACCGGAAGACCACCGCTACTCGAGTAGTTTGCACCGGAAATAGGCGGTCGCGGCAGACGAGTGAATCGTACTGTAGATACCCAAAGATGATCTACAGTCACAGATCACATAATGATACGAACGGGAGGAAGTCAGAAGTTATTGATAAACACTCGTTCTTATTATTCATCTCTGGATTCTGCGTAGTGATCCAGAATGCTTCTAGTGCTTTCCTAGCCGAGATCTCCGTTTCATACGCAAGAATTCTACATTTGATGTTAAAGTCTTCTCCACCGTGCCGTGCGTCCCTATGCCTGCCAAGCGGCGAGCTCAGATTTTTGCGCCTTTTATCGGCTAGATGTTCTTTTATGCGAATACCCAAAACTCTGCCCGTCTCTCCTATATATAACGCTTTGCAGTTGAGGCACTCAATTTGATAAACGACTCCCACTTTTGCACAATCCCCCACTCTTCCGTGCGGGCATATTATGCATTGCTCTGTCGTACAATATTGGTCGTAGAGCCTATTTCGGACTAGCTGCTTTTTGATGTTGTTGTTGGGGAGGTTGATTAGAACAACATCATTTTGTAGCTGAGCTCGAAAAATGCACTGTTGAAACGCCGTGGCAATCTTGTCAGAGATGAAGGGAAGGCAGAGTGGGAGTTTACTGTTACTATGAATGCTGTTACCATTTCTAGGTAGTCGAGGACACGGTAAGTTATGGTAACCATTACAGCAAGCAATCTGTATACAATCTACCATTACATCAATCAATTATCAATCAAGCAATCTCCCAGAGATTTATCGAAAATCTTCACAACGCCAAGCTTGACACGAGCGCTGTTATAGAGTCATTCGATGTAACATCACTCTATATGTGCAGAACAATCAAGCTTTACAAGCGTTATCGGAAATGTTGGATACGTACGCTGGTACCATAAACATGTACGGACTTGGCAAAGTGCGAACGATGGCCCTAATTAGCGAGTGCCTGAAATGTAACATCTTCAGATGGTCTGGGACATACTATTCCCAGATACGCGGACTAGCTATGGGCCAAAGACTAGCACCAGTTCTCGCTATATGTTTCATGAGTAAAGTTGAAGAACCGGTGTTGGCACGTACGCCTTTGATGTACTGCCGTTACATCGACGATTGCTGTGTCATAACATCAACACAATCCGAAATGGATGAGTGTTTTAAGATCCTGAACCAGCAATCGCAGTACATCAAATTCACGCGCGAAAAGCCACACGACGGTTGGCTGCCATATCTCAACGCACAGGTGAAGTTATCCGATGGCATTGTTAGAGTAAAATGGTACCGCAAGGAAAGCTCTAAGAACATCTTGGTAAACGTCAAGTCCGCGCATCCTGCATCTGTAAAACGTGCAGTCATCAGAAACATGTTTAATACAGCTATGCGGATGTGTTCCGGAGAGCAAGAACATTGCGAATCTCGAAAGTTGGCCTCCCAGATTGCTTGCTGTAATGGTTACCATAACTTACCGTGTCCTCGACTACCTAGAAATGGTAACAGCATTCATAGTAACAGTAAACTCCCACTCTGCCTTCCCTTCATCTCTGACAAGATTGCCACGGCGTTTCAACAGTGCATTTTTCGAGCTCAGCTACAAAATGATGTTGTTCTAATCAACATTCCCAACAACAACATCAAAAAGCAGCTAGTCCGAAATAGGCTCTACGACCAATATTGTACGACAGATCAATGCATAATATGCCCGCACGGTAGAGTGGGGGATTGTGCAAAAGTGGGAGTCGTTTATCAAATTGAGTGCCTCAACTGCAAAGCGTTATATATAGGAGAGACGGGCAGAGTTTTGGGTATTCGCATAAAAGAACATCTAGCCGATAAAAGGCGCAAAAATCTGAGCTCGCCGCCTGGCAGGCATAGGGACGCACGGCACGGTGGAGAAGACTTTAACATCAAATGTAGAATTCTTGCGTATGAAACGGAGATCTCGGCTAGGAAAGCACTAGAAGCATTCTGGATCACTACGCAGAATCCAGAGATGAATAATAAGAACGAGTGTTTATCAATAACTTCTGACTTCCTCCCGTTCGTATCATTATGTGATCTGTGACTGTAGATCATCTTTGGGTATCTACAGTACGATTCACTCGTCTGCCGCGACCGCCTATTTCCGGTGCAAATTACTCGAGTAGCGGTGGTCTTCCGGTATGTCCTGCTACACTGACATTTTATTTGGTAGCGAGATTGTGAGAAGGCCGAGAACTAGCAGAGCGGGAGGAGACGCTTGGTGGTCTGGAGTTACGGATAACACTTAGAACCATTCAGGCCTCTGAGGAAGACGAAAGGCGTCGAAACGTAAGGCCGTGATTGGAAAGAAATAAAGACCACTTATCAAACCTGTTTGGCACAATAGAAAATTGAACTTACGACAAATGCCAAGGTTTCATGAAAACGGAACTTGGAAGTTACATTACAATACGCTAATTGAAGTTGCTGATTCTGAATATGAAGTTTGCATTTCATTGCTTCATTGTAACGTTATCATAGAAAGTTATACCAAGTAAGCAGTACAGCCTTTTTCCGATGTTGGTAAGAATGTGATTACATTGATTAAAAGCTTCACACTCTTGTACAAAGTTGAGTATTGAGCTCAGGTGCAAAACCTACTGCACAAGTTTTCAGGGTTTTCAAAATTATTTATGATGGCAGCTTTTTCACAATGACGCCACATGCAAAAATTCTTACCGTAACCTTACAGTAATGAAAAGCGATCGCTGATCGCTCCATACAGTACTACCTAAAGGTACATGAACCATCTCGAAAGACTTCATTACGAGAGAGTCATCAAAAATCAAACTGTAGACACATTTTTTGAGACACCCTGTTTATCGGTATGAACTTGTATGAGAGAATTGTCAACTGCTTCGTGCAAAATGCAATGCAAAAGTAATTGAAAAAAGTTCTCAACGCGCAAGGCAATCGGAAATTGATTTTTATTATCCTACTATAATAACGCGCTAAGAGTGTTTACGTGTTTTTGTGTGTCTGTCTGTCTGAATGTCTGTCTGTCACGAAATTCATAGAGCGTGTTCCAGCCAACGTCCTAAGCTCAAATTTTGCATAGCACTTGCTACTGGCATGAAAGTCCAACATGCAAAAGCACCAGCAATTTCGTTGAGTGAGTCTCTTGGAAATTGCGCGTCAAACGGATCCACTTTGCATTTAGCCCACAAAATTGGGTCCGTAATTCCACTTTTTGCGGAGTGGTGGGTGTTTACGGCAAGTAAATGTGCAAGTTATGGACTGAGGCCCAAATAAGTGGCCAAAAGTTCATTACTTTACAAAAACGGCGCCCAAAAGTATTGCTTGCGTAAATGGTCAATTTGCCAAAGTTCTAGAAAAGCATTCGAGAAGATTTTCGCACAGAGATGTAGCACACGGTGACTATTGCCTTTATGGCGATTATCAAACCATGACAATTTTAAAAATCTATTCAAATTTGCCTTTATCTTTCTGCGAAAAGTTTTTTCCATGCGGAATCACCGATCTCACGTGTAAGAGCTTTCTAAATGAGTAGTTGTTTACATTTCATTCGTGGTAGTCGGCATAGCACGGTGAGTTCCAGTGCCACGATTTTACGAGAATGAGTGAGGCACATAGATAGTAGAGCCAGTGCGAACCTCTGCGAAGCAGAGGTGACGCACTGGTATATGATAACCGAGTAAAGGGAATTAGAATGAGTTGGCCAACTTTACATCGACTCAGCATGTTTTTACAGTCCTCTCCTGACGAACAAACTTCTTTATCCGATCGCTATTGTCATATGAATCGTACACATCATACCGCCAAATATTCCCCTACGGCATTCCTTCCCCCACAATTACCCCCCCCCCCCCTCTTTTATTCCATCCTTTTATCTTAAGGAAATGTTGCAAGTGCTCGTTAGCGCTCCATCAATCCTATTCTCTGGTAAACCGAAAACTTTCCGCTCCATTATGCTCTCCTGAGCGCGGAGATTCAAAAATGCGCTTCGGAATAAACAACCTTGTTTACAGCGTGGCTCTCCAGGTGGCTCCAAAACTAATTTCGTAAAAAGTTTGCCACGACTTCAGCTCACATAACTTTTTCACTTTTCGTACATAATTGGAAGTCCTCATTGCGCTCAGAGCATATCTAATCATGGATTTTCTTCCCTCACGTAATTTTTTCGTATTTTCTGCTTAACTTTGATTCACACCTACAACTACAGACTAGTTTTTGAAACTTTAAAACCTTCTCCCACAGCCCTTCAAAAATTTTATATGACGGCAGCAGGTTGCTCCCAGCGCGCGGTGATGCTCCCCGGACACTGCATGCCGTTAACCTAGAGGATACGAACAGCGTTACAATTTTTGTCTGTTATTTTAGCAAACTGTTTATTTCTCTTTCTATACACGTTTGGTTGTTTGAGGTGCTATAAGCGATGTTGTATTTTGATTACGAAATCTACGATGACTTCGTCTCCAAAAAATTGCCACCTAGTGCCGAGCCCTGGTCGCGTAAGTATTAGGTTGGTGCAAAAGGAATGGCCGATTTTCCAAGCCTTTTTTAAGGGCAACGTTTCCCCATCAATTCTTCTTCTTTACAATAGTTGTAGTATACCATCGCGATGCTGTTTTCATGCTCTATCTAACGGTGCTTAAAACTGGCTCTCAACATCATTTCTTGTAAAGTTACTGAGCTTCAAATAACCGCATCCAAATTCAGAATTTCATTGCATTCACTTTTCTGGCCAGAATTTAAGCGCGTATTAATGAGATTTCTTCGAAAATTTAGCTATTGTATGTAATAGAAATTGTCTACATTATGCATACTTGACTGTGTTCTTTGAGGCTATCCAGACTGATATATCGGCGCCTAACATGGGTAGCTGTTGCGGTCATTTTATGACCCATAATTTTCTTCTGAAGAAGTCAATCGCCGGAGCTTTGCTCAATTCTGTAAGCGTAGGGCTAGGGCATCCTGTTAGCAGTTTTTGCAAAAACATCCATCTGTTCAGTACCTAAAAAATCAAAAAATTCTATATTCGGGACTTTGAGGCACACTGAAAAAATGTTCAAAAAGGTGAGAAATTTCAAATTTCAGTTTTTTTCCTTTTCGCAAACTTTTCTGTCCGAATTCTTTTTATTGTGTTTTGTACTACTGGCTTGCGGCTACAAGATAGGCTACCTGACATTTGTACATTTATACTAACAAACTTTGAAGGAAGATATGAACTGTCAAAGACAAGGTTCTAGCAGAAGAACCTTTTTTATTTTTCAATCCATATTTTTCTGCCCGTTCGTGATATGAGTATAAATAAATGTGCGCTGCATTGCAGAAGATTTGCTGCTTCTGATAGTTTTTACCGCATTCGAAAATGTGAATTCTTCCAAAAGTTATAGCACGTCAAATTGAGAATTCGCAAATCGGCCATTCCTTTTGTACCAACCTAATACTTATTGGAAGCCGGACATATTATATTTGGATGGGAGACGGAAGATTTGCATTTTTAGAAAAAGATTCAATTTCTTACTGATTAAAAGTTTTTGGTTGGCTATAAAACCTTTGAGTATACTTGATCACAACTGTGTGGACGTTTTGGAGATCATCCAGTGAACTTGTCACTAATACCTAAAGACTACTAGAAAAAATATGGTTATCTACAAGACGGATAGAGTATATGTATGAGAGGACCAAAATTTGTAAAACATTGAACTGCCTTGGATCAGCCCCAGCCCAGTCACAGAAGTACATCCTCTCTCTCGATTATCTGCTCTTGGTCAGACTCAAACATTCAGATAAGACCGTAACCTTCAACAACCTTGATCTCTGGCAAGAATATCAAAAAGTCTGTGGAGGGTCACTCTTCAACGACATCAAAATGCGTATGGATTTGAAGTGGGATTGCTTAATAAATCATCATTCAAGGTGCAGATGGATTGACGGCCTCAAATATTTTGTTTATTCTGCAGTATGTTGGAGCATTTAATTGGAGAACATTCAGTTATGATGGTTGCAATTTCAGCACGATGTCAATGTATTCGCTTTCTTTTCCATTTTGCGACTTCTTCACTCTGAGGTGGTAATGCCTGATGGATACGTACCGTACGCTGCTGCCGTATTCGTCGAGTTATGGAAGAACAATACAGATGGAAAGCCATATTTCAGGGTAATTCGGAGTTGAACTGAACAATTACTAAATGTCTTCTTATAGCTGGCTTATCATAGAAAACCTGATGAGACAGGTGATACTATCTACACAATAACGCAGGAGATAGAACCTTGCGAAGGAAAAGAATTTTGTAAGCTGGATGTGTACAGAGATATTGCTGCAAAAGTGAAACCAGACCAAGAAATGGCGAAGGTGAGTAAAGCCAAGGCCACCGTTGGTTGATGGGATTGGATAGATAGAAGAGCTGTCTTGAATTTTTTTCAGATCTTTGTATCTCCTCACTAAGATGTCAGTTTTTGAATTTCACGTTTCAATAGTTTTTCAGTGCAAGGGTTTTCTTGAAAACTCAAAAACTTCTGGCCTCAAAAAACAAGGTTGATCGTCCTTTCTGACTGCATTTTGCACCAAATTGAGTGAGACTGAATTTTGGAGCAATTACAGTTAGCACTCGCTGAACATCAGTGGCCACCCAGGATTTCGCTCGGGGAAGGACAAAAATTTTTTTTCGATGAAGGTGCGTGGCGTCAGCCACGCACTCCGAAAATTTTTTTGTTGCGCTTTCTAGAATCTTCGCGGGCACAGCGGAAAAAATTTTTTTATAAGGCTAAAATCAATTTTTCAAAAAGTCAAAGAATTATCTCAATTATTTACAAGTGCAGACAGGTCATTTGCACAATTTTATAACCCATGTAAGTAACAAACTGTTTAATCAATATGTAAAGTGATATTTTCGATCATTTTACAAATAAGGAAGAGATTTGCCTGTGTACCCTCTGATTCAACGGGATTGACGGGTGGAAGGCGGTGCTTCAAGGCCCAATCAAGGCTAGGGGATGATCAGCGAGCGCACTCGCGAAAGAAGCGCAGACTTGGTCATGGGAGCGAGCGGAAGCCTTCCAGCCGCCAATCGTTGAATCAAAGGGTAACGTATCTTAGAGACCTGGCTAACACCACGTGCTTTTGTAAAGTGTCGTTATATTTTTATATTTTCCAAGGACTCCTCTTTTCTGTTGGGAGCCCATCATACTTCGGGAGAAAAGCCCAAAAGCGCCCAAAAAAGGCCAAAGATATACAAAAAAGCCCGGAAAAGACTAAAAAGTTTAAAAGCGCCAGAAAGAGCTGAAACGCCCTCTTCCGCGCGCACGTTTTGGCGCTAAGGCATGTGTGTTGATTTCGCAGCCGAATCCTTTTGGTTCATTTTCTGCCGTCTGTACATCAAAATAAAGTCAGAATTCTACTAAAAATTCGTTTCTGCGTTCCGGCTCTCTCGGCGCTTTCGGGCTTTTCCGCCAATAACGGGTCCCAGAGTGCGCGGCGTACAGGCGTACGTGACGTACGCCGCGCAGTCAGGCCAACCCTTAGAGGTTGCTTCATACTACGCCGCAGGACACTGCATGCTGCGGCGTAGTATGAAGGAACCCTCAGAGTTCTGTCCTTTCCCCTCCGTCCCGGTGAAAAAAAAAGCGGAAGATGGAATGTGAAGTAAATAGGTAGCATCCTTGCAGACGATGTTGATACATCACATTCTTCTCCGATAATGGACTGTCCCAAAGTTCTGAGCGTAAAATTCACGTTTTCTAGTTTTGCCATCTTACAACTAGCTGAATGTGAAATCATGCGCTCTCTAAATGTGCCGCGTGATCCCTCATGCGTTTTGCTTACCCGCGTCTCATTCATTGTGCCGATAAGAAAAGTGCTGAAAATGGCCTAAACAATCACTCTTGTCTACGTTGAACATGGACCAGAGAGAGCAGAGCCCGCTTGAGTTAGACTGCGACTCCCTCGCAAACATGCTCTCCGATCTTGAAAGTCCTTTTATCTTGAAACCTGGGCATTTGAAAGATAACTTCAGTATTTGTTCTGTGCCGTACAGGTTTTTTATAGTAATACACTTTATTGCCTTACAATTCGGCTACAGCCGTCATCAGAGGCCTGAAAGGTGTCAGTCACAAGGATGTCTGCTCTTGACCGCCAAACACGTCTTCCCACTTGCATATTCGATTCATCTAGTGTGGAAGAAGGAGGTTGGGCCATGACTTTCACTCACCAGTGTATTACCGATATTGCAGTGTGCAACTGCTTTAGACGAGCACGTTCGACTGTGGTGAGCAAGAATGAGAAGTATGTCACATAACTGCTTATATACGCTCAGACGATCTATAGCTCGCAAAACGGAAGATACGGCATGAGATCAGCGGTAATGGATAACTGTTCATTCTTGCTGTTCATTTTGGGATCACGCGTAAGAATGAAAGACGCTTCCAAAGCCTTTCGCGCAGCTATTTGACTTTCATAGGCTAGTATTGTGCACCTTATATCATAATCCGTTCCTTCGTGCTCTACCTTTCTATGTTTACCTAGTGGGCTCATCATGCTCTGTTTTGTTTTGCCAGTTAGATGTTCATTCAAACGTACGCCCAATGGTTGGCCGGTCTAACCAATGTAATTGGCGGAACATTTCAAACAATGGATTTCGTAAGCGACACCATATTTTGTGCAATCTCCGATATTTCCGTATGGGCAGATCGCGCAATCTCGTAAGTTACAAGCTTTGTCGTATAGTCTATTGCGGACGAGTTGTTTCTTTATGTTGTCGCGAGGAGTATTTACTAGAATAACGTCATCCTCGAGACTCGCTTGTATCAGGCATCGCTTGATCGCCACAGTGACTTTTTCAGAGATAAAGGGCAGGCATAAAGGTACCTTGTTGGTGACCTGATCTTTTAGTTGCGCTGTTGCCTTTTTGTTTCGTCTGGGTCGTGTTGTATAACCATTGGATGACATTATATCGGCCGCCAGTTTTAGTGATTCATGCTTCTCAATCTCACCAGCACAAACTTTCTTTGACGGATATGCATTCAATGACCGCTGAGACCTACAAAGACCTATTATCAGCTGCAATTTTGTTGAGGAACCAGGAGATTCGATCCGTTGGTCCATGGGTGCAGCCGATCTGGTTGAAGCAAAGGGTGTTTCCTATCGCTTCTCTGGTTGTGCTGTATTCTGCTGTGCCTTTTCTAGTTGTATCACTAGTCATTGATACAAATCTGAATCTAATTGACGAGTTGTTTTATCAATCGGCAGTCGAGCACTTTGAAAACCTTGATCTCGCTCTTGTTTCTTTTGTTGCCAGAGAGCTTGGCTTTCATAGTAGAGTAATTTTGGTTGTTTTAACAGAACTAGCAGGATACTTCTCCTTTCATTCTCCACTTTAGCAAAGAATCTGGATTCAACCAACTGTTAGTCAATTCAAAGAAGCAGCAACTCTGTCAGTTTTCGTCATCTGTGATTGAAAGTTTTTGTTTTCAAAGTCAATTTTTGGATCAAAATGGCAGTCGGTATCGATAAGGATATTATCAGTATAAGGTCCTCTCGCAACTGTGCATTGGCTTAAAGACCTTTCACTTTTGCTTGAGCGCTCAGCTGACAAAAGCAAGCATGTTGAAAACTGCTTGTATAATTTTGTCAAAAAGCTTGTTCTTGTCAACATTTGGAGACGTAGGCCTTTATACAGGGTGTCATGAGTTTTCAAAGCCATGAAACCTGTTCAGAGTACTAGACGATTCAATTTCCGAGGACGTGTTCTTGACTGTCATGATTTTTACACAGTATTTTGTCTGGAACTTCTCAGACAATCAAAGGCTGTCAGCCTGCCCCTCCAAAAGCGCCGTTGCCTTATCGCCGCCATTTTTCGCTTCCCGCTGAGAAACTTTGCTAGAACTGGCAGCGAGCGGGCTGCCATAGAGTCTTCAGCGCGAAACGAATGTGGCGGCCATACCTTGGTGGGGTCGGCTGAGGGTCTTCGATTATTTGAGTTGTGAGTATGCAAAAACACAGGTTCTGAAAACCACCTGTCTCAAGTTTCTTAGCATTATTCCGGTAAAGAATACGTCGAGAGCATTCTTTTTCGCCAATATTGTGATCGGCATCTCTACCAAATAAGCATAATCTTCAAGCTCAAGTTCTCGCAGTTTGTGAGCGATATTGTCAGAAAAACATGTGAATGGATTTCGAATTGTAGAAGGGCAGACTAAGTAGGATGTAGAGGGGTTCGTGACTGATAAAGCAAATTACTCATTTTGCACTGATTTCCAAACTTTCATACAAGAAGCGAATTAGCAGGTTAACGTCAAATCCAGGCAACTCGGTTGGTTATTTTTCCATGGTTATTGAATTTTTCTAAGTTTTATTTTCTATTGCATACCGCTGCAGTTTTGTGGCGTCTTTTATGGTATATGAACGTAATTGCACGCTGTACGATAACGAAACTCGTTCGAAAAATTGCAACGCGGGCTGACAGGTCAATTGTTCGCCTCGGTACGGCAGCCAATCACATCGTCATCTTTGCGGTGGGCTGACCTATCACCAGGGTTGAGCAAGAGGTCAGGCACAAGTCTTTCCAAAACGACCCCCCCCCCCAGTAAAAGCCCCTAAACGACCCCTCTGCTTCACCTCCAGGACCTCAGGCTGTGATAATTCGAGGAGATCAGCCGTTTTTGGGAGGTTCTTGTTTTTTGGAGGTCTGTAGGCCGACTTTCTGCGATTGCACAGCACACGCAACTTGACGGCAAGTTTTGGATTTTGGATAGGCACCCGCCATACTTGATCCGCTTAATCCACTTGATCCGCTTGATCCGCTTCGCCATTGGTCAATTCAGTAAACTGACCAATAGCGAAGCGGACCAAGCGGATCAAGTGGATTAAGCGAATCAAGTATGGCGCGTGCCATAGCCCTACTTTTAGAGCTATAATTCCCACAAGGGTGTATTGTTTGGCTCCAAATTTGCAGTGTTGCAAGAAGAGGCTTTGAGTTCAATACTCATAGCAGAAATGGAGCGATTTTCAGATTTTGAAAACAAGTTAATCGGGTCAGGCGCAACCCCTCAAAAGCTCAGGCGGCCTGACCTTTTGTGGGGTTGCGCCTGACCCGATTAACTTCATCATTGAAGAAGCTTTTTTATTCAAGTTTTATGTGAATCGCTCGCACAACCCTCGAAGATTCCATAGTAAGTGTTTGGACTTGCTTCGACTTGTTTCGGCCTTGTGGTAATCCGTGGAGTTGAAGCAGTCATGGCGAAAAACGCGCCGGTCGGAATTTTCGCATTATTTCTTACTCCACTATTTGCAAGCGATACAAAGCGCGATTTTTAGCATAGACTAGCAGGAAAACTTTGTTACGAGTACAAAAAAATTGACTTTTCTCACTTTTGAAAACAAGTTAATCATGTTTGAAAATCACGCTTTTTAGTCGTTGAGAAACACTAGATAATGCAGTAAATAATGGTTTGTAGGGCTCATAGAGGTAATTTGACGTGCTCGGAAATGATACCCATTTCACCCAGCAAGCTTCCTTGATGAATTTATAATATGTCGAGGTAGAAGATGAAGATTTGAGTTTTGGCCGAAACTTCGATTGTGGAATCAATCAGTATGCTGTTTAAGACCGTTCATTCCTTCAGTGCTAATGAGGTCGCGATATCCACTAAACTAGCGCTTTTCTTCTTCACCTTAATCGTAGTATCTCCTCAATCGAACGAATTCGATTCCTAATCACGACCCCCCCCCCCTCTGTCTTACCCCAGTACGACCCCCCAGGTCGGGCGCGCCTGACCCCACGCTCAACCCTGCCTATCACTATCACCGCGATTAGAGTGGATTTAAAAGGGACTAACATTTGATATTCAACTGGCTTGGCACCATTAGGGCGGGGTTTCGTTATCTAATTGAGGCCGCTCGCGCCCGCGATGCACCCGCGTCTCTCTCGCGCGAGTGCTTTCTAATCATCACCCAGCCTTAATTAGGTCACGAAGTCCCGCCTTTGCCGATGCCAAGCCAGTTGAATCAAACGGTACACTTGGAATTTTACATTTTGCAAGACTGCCCTTCAGCATTCCTTGCGATAAAATACGACAAACGCAAAATAAATTCCCGTTGTCTTTAATAGCACAAAGCTCCGCTGTAGCCTTGATTTTCCTTACTAAAATAGCCAAGAGGCAACGCTTCACTACTCAAAGTGACTTTACTCGCACATCCTTGATTGAAGCAGAGTCATAGCTTCGAGTTTAGAGTCTTGTAAAAATTCAAAAACAGAATTTTTTAATGAAATACTGACCAAACGAAAATCAGAACGAACACCTGCAGCAATACATCGTGAGCAAATCCTGCAAACCAAGCTTTATCGTACAAGAGCTTTACTCAATGCATACGACACAACAACTCCTTTTGCAGTTTGCTTGCAAAAGGGTTTGCTACAAAGCGATAATTCTATCACCAGTTATGACATCTCGCATCGTAAGCATTTTTAGTTGTGTCTTATCGATCCTAATCCAAGCAGTTCTACCGAGTCTCCACCCAGTCCTGCATCCACGATGTGGCAGCCGCATTTTATGATAGGTAAGCGTCGCTCACGTTGCACCTTGAATTATTTTTAACTACTTGTTTTAGCCTTGATCCTTCTCTCACTCAAATGGGTATACTTCTGAGAAACAAGCAAACACACACAAGTTCGTGATGTGCTCAAGGAGAAAATCTAGTCATTTTATCGAGTCGTTTCATAAGTTCATAGATTTTTCATAACCAACGAAATAGCGAAATTTTATCAAATTCGGTCGGTGATGTATATTCCGCTGTTGCATTCAACTTTCTGCCACCTTGCCGTCAGATTTTGAACTCTGCTTTCAGCGGGTCTGGCCAAAAAAGTCTCTTGACCAGCGCCTGAGATTATCATAAGAATCAAACCAAACGCCCTCTATACGATTTGCGATAGACCAAAACAGAGGATAGTACATTGGATACTAATTCACCTCCGAAGATGTCGCAGGACACTTCTGCAGTTTTGCGTATTTGGGGATTAGGTTTTTTCATACAGAAAAATTCATTGGATCTGCTGCATTTTCCGCAGTACTCATAACGATGTATTTGGATTGCGGACGGATGCTTGCCCGTTTTGTTTTAGTTCAGCAATTTTCAGTGGTCAAGGGGACATTGTTTGACCCTTGGTTTTTTGAAGCAATTTTTTCAACTTATCCAACATATAACCATCTTTTTCCATGATCGTCAACAGTCTTGATGGAGACGCTTCGTATTGTAAGTAAATTAGCTGGCATAACCTGCTCCGCCCGGCCCTGTCAAAACATTATGATAAAGGTCACTAGTCACCATCCCTACTCTTGTACAATCTCTTCCTGTGCCCACTTTTACATGCCAACTCCCCATCCCCGTTTTGTTTTCGTAATCAGCATGCTCACTTACCCCCTCCCCTCCTGCGCCAACTCCCAGCCCCGTAACTCAAATTACAAAAAAGATAAAAATTGATAGAATCGTTGTCGATCGATAACGAGGAGTAGCCACGACTCTAGCTGGCATAATTATGATCACCTCTTTTCGATATGTACGCATCCTGCCGCAAATCAACCTCTTTAGGAAATAAGGACGGGAATGAAGACTTTACGTACTTACGAAACGACCTAGTACATCATGCTGTTTTATTCAATAAAGATTCGACACTTAAGCTTATGTTCACATCTAGTCACGATCTTGACACCAAAGCACGACTTGTTTGGCAACCAACCCCTCAAAGTAATGGTAAAGGTCCGTCCAAGTTGTTAGTAACCTACGCAACCATAGACTAGAACGCGTTGGTAGCGCAAAGCCACACATAGTACTGGAAGCCCCCAACTCTTCTACATTTGCATTACACATTGTTCCAACCGAAAGTAGACCAAACTATTCATGTGCAATTGCCCGTCCGCTTCGCTAAGGACACCGCGACCGCATAGAGCTCAACTTTGCCAGCCAGAAATTGAAGTTTGGGGAGAAGCAAACAAGGGTCTAGCACGACGTGGTATGAGATCGTCAATACCTGAACTCGCGAAGAGGACGCGCGGTAGGGCAATTCAGTTTAGAGTGGATTTGAACAACATTTGTACCTAGCTTTGCGTCCAAGTTTCAACATCTCTCGATTTCACCTCTCGTACAATTCAAAACAGAATAATTGAACCCATGTAGCGCACAGGCATAGCATTTGTCAATAATCCAATGCTCTTTCCATACATCTCATCGTGATGGACCATTCCACTCGGTCGTTACTGTCTGCCTCGTTTTAGCACTTGCAAGGGACGTCTGCACGCACTTATGACAGGGCCCAGCAAGAGGTGGGCAAATGATAGGCTAGAAGTCGTTTTGGGCGAAAAAGCAAAGAGGATATCGTTTTTGTGAGTTTGGGGCGAAGCCCCGAGAAAAAACTGGTAGTTCATGCTCTTTGCTTATCTTAACACCAGTGCGTCACCTCTGCTTCGCAGAGGCTCGCACCCTATTTTCTGTATGCCTTACTCATTCCCGCATAATAATGACATTGAAACTCACCGCGCTATGTAGGCTGTCACGAATAATTCGTAAACAACTACTCATTCGTAGAGGTTTTCCATGTGAGATCGGTATTTTCGCGTGGATAAAATCTTTCCCAGAAGAACAGATGCAAATTCGAATAGGCTTTTGGAGTTTTTATGGCTTGGTAGTCGCCGTAAGGACAATAGAGACAGTGGGCTACACCTCTGTGCAAAAATCTTTTCAAATAATCAGGTAAAATCTTGAAAAATTGACCGTTTATACAGCGAATGCTTTTTGGCGCTGTTTTCGTAAAGTAGTAGGATATTCATTACTTTTTTAAGCTAACGTCCATGACTTGCACATTAGCTTGTCAAATATGTCCTTAACTCTGCAAAAAGTAGTACTTCGGACCCAAATTTGCTGGCCAGAAGCCAAGTGGATCCGTTTGACGCGCAATTTTCAATGGATCCACTCAACGGATCCGCTCATGCTTTTGTATAGTGAGCTTTCATGATGGTAGCATGCGCTATGCAAAATTTGGGCTCAGGACGTTGGCTGGAACACGCTCTACGAATTTCGTGACAGACAGACATTCAGACACACACACACACAAAAAAACGTAAACACCCTTAGCGCGTTATTATCTTAACATGTTGTGTGCTTTAACAGGCGAACACTGGAGTTCGCGCGCGTCAAACGGCCCCCATCTGTAATTGCCGCATGCGCAACGTCGCTAACGATGCTATTTGTGACAGCATATATGAATAATTCCTGATGTATGCGAAAAGATATAGCATCAAATTTCGTAAGTGAACCAAGAAATGCTAGTGGAAACAAAGTGTGGGAAACTATGAAAAACCCATGTGAATGGAAGATGTAATAAGCGTTTTTTCCAAAAAGTTTGCATGATTGGTGAGTGAAGATGTGAAATTAAATGACTCGTCTGCAACGCACAGATGACGATATGGTAAGTTCTTGGTAAGTTACGATATGGTGACTTGGTAAGTTCACGACACGGGCCTGCGGGGCTTAAACGAGAAGTTTCAATGAAAAATTGTGTGACTGAAGGTTGTGACAAGCTTTTTTCTGAAATTTCTCGCTATCAAAAAATTGGAAAAATGGCTCGTTTGCAACGCAGAGGTGACGAAATCGCGCGAGATTTGATGTGTATACACGCAGTAGGACTAAGGAACAAAGTAAGAAAAATTATGAAAAACTTAAGTGAATGAAGAGCGTGCCCAACATTTTCTGCCAACATAATGCCCACCTGAGGTTGGCAAGGCTTCCAATCCACATAATTTTTGCAAAATTTTTTACATAAATCTGTTACACCTAAAGCTTAGTATATAGTGACATTCTGGTCTCAAAACTCCTCCTCTCCTCCTTGTTAGGATCCAAAATAACAACGACGCCGGTCCTTCCGAAAGAAAGCGCGCTTTAATCTAACAACCTACAACCAGCTGACGGGATCAAGCGGGAAATCGTAAGAATCAATAGTGGCAAGAGCGATGTCGTTTCAACGATGTCTGCCACCCTCGTGCTGTGCCCTGACTTATGAGCCTATAGAAGATTTGAATAACTTTACTGCTTGCTTCTCAATCAAAAATATGGATGCGCATATAGCAGCAGCTTGCTGCTACAACATGTGAATTCGGCTTTTGAACCAAATCCAACGCTCTTATGAATCGATAAAACTTCTGAACTTGTACGAACAGCGCCGAATCACAAGAACTTACCCTGTAGTACAGTGACTAAAGCAAACAGATCCAAGTCAACCACATTTGATTAGCAATCGAGCTTTTATTCACTTTTAGTTATAAAATGTTCGAAAGATAGGCTTATAACCAGAATCGGAGGCGCCTATATAGGGCACCACGGCGCTTGGCAAGATTGTTTTCTCGTCCAACGTTCTGGGTGGGCTGTAATCAGGGGAGAGGGAGGGATTTGGGTAGGAAACACTGTCTGTAATTAAGTAACATGTCAACAAAAGTACTTGAAGAAAGGGAAATTTATGGCTTTTTTTCTGAGCCACCGCAGGAGTCACCTCTAAGGTACTTGAAAGCGACCTAACTTCGAAAAAGGTTTGCCACACCTTTATCTCATGTTTCATAGTTTTTCTACCTAGTTCCAACTACCCATTCCCATCTACACACCCATTTTGGTGGCATATTTTCTCTTCGATGAAGCCTTTTGTTTACTTCGGAACACATTTATGAATCGCACTTGCACTTAAAGCACATTGGAATTGAAAGTTGTCGCTTTGCAGAGAACAGGATCGGGAGGGCAGTGGAAAGCACTTGCGACGTCTTTAGAAGATGAGGAAGTGGAAAAGGGGAGGGGTCGTGGAGGGGATGAAAGTTGGGAGTTGTATATGTTAGACTTATGTGACGATAGCGAAGGCGTAGATATTTTATTATCACAGGAGGGCTGGCTGCAAGAATTTATTAGGATGATGGAAGTTAGCCACCTCTTCAAAATTTTTCACTCACTTGGTTATAAAAATTCATTTTGGATTGCCTAAAGGGATTAGGAGATTTTTCGATATTTTTCCGAGACTCGATATTGCATGGAGCGATTGATTATATTTTCATATACTCCGCTCTAGGCTGATACATGTATTTTTGGGCCTCCATTTAGAATCCTCGCAAACGATGTCCTCTTTGCCTTCTACCCCAATAACGATGTAAACATAACGGTGTAAACATTTTTCCCGAGCAGTGTAAAGCATGAAAAGATTTCCTCTAATCGCGTAGGTAAAGCCGCTTTTTCATTGTGCCGTGCAGCTGCATTATAACATTACGTGACGTTTTAAGTTCCTTTTTTGTAGATTTTCCGTCGCAAACAGTTTTGTAATGGCCTGTTTGCTTTCTTTTTCTTTCTTTGTAGGATGGAGACTTCACCTTGTCATACTTATAAGATGACTGTAGTCTTGAGACTAGTAACAATGATACTGGATTCAAGAAATGCAACAGATGGTCAACAATGTCGGGAAATTTCAAATTCATAAGTGAATGCCCTTTCAGAAAAAAATTGCTCCTTTCATGCCTTTACAGGTTGTACTACGTTTTCGTGAGATCAGCTCCTTTGGTGATAAAGTTGCTGCGGCTCGGTGGGCTCAGCACCCCCTAGTATCGCTCGACTAGCCTGACAAATCACCAAGCCCTAGAACGTTACGCGTTCGACGCCGATTGGCCTACGGCGCGTCTTCTCGACGCGATCACCAAATAACAACAAAGCCGTACAAGCACGACTAGATTAAATGAGTTTATCTACTGAGAAGCAAATACAAGAAACAGATAACAAGAAAATACTACTAAACTACTAGGCTCCTACTCTAAGTGAATAAATGGGGATAACACACTTGACGACCGGAGCGTCCCAACCACCATTGCATAGAAGACTCAGTCCAGTTCAGAAGTTCTGGGCTTCACCTCAAAGTCGGCCGCAGGAGACCCATTTCCAACGAACGGTGCACTCACCAGCTTCACTCCCGCAAAAACGTTCATCTACAACTTCCAAACTTCATGGTGCTTACTCGCGACCATTTCACAAAATCCGAAAGGCTCAACCTCTCAAATGGAAATCCTCAAATGCGGGAGCTGCCCAGAACGTAGCCGAGTATGATACGAGATATTCGATAACGAAGGTCAAAATGGCGAGGGCTGCTCTCGCGTTCAGCCTTATATAACCCGCCAGTTGGTTGCGCTCCAAGCCGGAGGTGGTCCTGCAGCAGCCTACAAAAGGCGCGGCAGGCAAATGTGGTATACAGCACCCCTTGCACCTGTTCAGGGAGCGCTCTGCATTACGGAGCCTCGGCAAAAGTTTTACTAGTTCAGTTTTGCGCAGAAGTCGTGGAAAGCAAAGGAAAGGAATGTGAGAAATTACAACAAGTAATAATGCTACTTTGTTCCTTTGCGAGTATTGATTATTTGAAGTTTGTGATAACTGCGGTCTCCATAATGCTTGCGAAAAAGTTGTAGCGAAATTTGTAGAATTACGTTTTCCTTTGCCAGTATCGAAGTTCGATCTCGACACGATTCAAATATAATGATTTCTTTACGCTTCTCAGACAATCGACGGGACCCCTCCGCCGGACCCTCGGAAACTGCCAGAGTCGCGCCGGACCCAATTGACCAATGAGAGAAGGGCAAATGGGCGGTCCATCGCGGTGGCATCACTGGCAGGCAAATGGGAGGCTTCTCCGGCCCTGCTGCAAAGGTCCGCCATTTCTCCGGCGCGACTCTGCCAGATTTGACGGACTCCGCGCCGCAGAAATCTGCGCGGCGCGTGTCCGCCAAATTTGGAAGAGCCGCGCCGGAGAAAATGGGAGGGGTCCGGAGCAGAAATGGGAGGCCTCCGGAGCAGAAAATGGGAGGTATCCGGAGCAGAAAATGGGAGGTGTACGGAGCAGAAAATGGGAGGTATCCGCCGGAGAAATGGGAGGTATCCGCCGGAGAAATGGGAGGTATCCGGAGCAGGCTGCGTATCGATTTGGCGCGTAGCAAGCAAACGTCTAACTCCACGGTGATGAGTCCTCTGTTTACGCTCTTTGTCCATATTTTAGTCGCCGTTTCTTTGATTCTGTTGTTTTGCGCGTTTCTTTACCGTTTTTTCCTTTTCCGCGTTGCTCTTCGTCGCGTTGGCGTTTATGTTGCTGTAAGTTCCTCGTTTTCAGGTTTATGTTTGAAATTTTCGTGCGGTTGCACTCAATCACCTTCAGTGTTTGGCTCTTTCCGACTTGCTGAGACATCGTAGACTATTGATGGAGTGGTTTTTGTGATTAATTCTGGATTTTCGAAACAATGAGGTTAGTTGCGCAACTATCTAGTGTTGTTACACAATCGGCTGCGCGGGCGGTCGCATCGCGCATCCACTCTGTGTGCTTGGGTCACGCTTGCTGGGACTCATCATTTTCGAGTCAGATAGCAGGATAGAATGACATTTATGTCACATAACCACTTCATGCATACTTCCATAAATCCATTCTATTGGCAAGAAGAGTTCTGCGTCCTCCTATCTGACACTGTCATCGGCTTGAAGATTGAGAATGGTTCATACATTTCTGCAAGAAAGTTCGAATAATGATTGTGACCAACCCCACGGCGCATCTGTGTGCTCTTCTGTTCTTGCTTTCTTTTGACAAGTTATTTGCCCAACTAAGGCTAAGCTGTGCCAGTGAAAAACGTGTTTGAAAAAGCAAGAATGGATGTTTGGCATGCCCTAAGGTTTGCTTTTGGATTTACGTTATCGCTAATGATCTTTTACACCTCAAAAGGCAAAGAAGGAAAAGAATATTTGGTTTTTGTTATTGTTTTTTGCTCCTCCTTTGCTGCTGATTTTTGCTCAAGTAAGCTCCTTCTGGTCTCAGAGCACTATTCATATTAGCGTTGCTTGTTTTGTTGGAACGCTATTTTTGATGGGATCATCGTGCTCTGAGGCTGAGTTTGATACGACGTGCACATTCTTGAAGCTGGTATCATATTTTGTTTCAAAGATAAGCATAATCTGTTCTGAAACTAGGAGACTCGAATACGCACTATAACGCCCGCGGTTCCGAGGTGTAAATTGGGGTTTTAGGTTTTGAGGTTTCCGAGGTTTATTCGCGCTTCACAGCACTGCACATATTGTCTCAACAAGCTTTTGTAGGTACTCGTTCCTCCCTACTTCAGAGTAGCAAATAGATAGATCACAAGTGTAAAGTTGCTAATCACACAATCAAACTTGTTTAGACAGTATGTGCAAAGCGTGCCCGAGTTCTTTTAGTCTTAGAATATGTGATCATCTTCTCTGTGAATCAAATACAGAAATACGGTCACACGTTGCCTGACAGCTGATGACTGTGTCTTTCGAACTCCAAGTGCAGTGATTCAAGAGGAGATGAAGCACATACACTAATTCGTTAGTTAAATGTGCAAAGCATACTCGAGTATCCTTCAATCAAAGAAGGAGAAATTCAGATATAACAGATCCGTTGGCCAGGTGAATGCAATTGAAAACTTTCAGTGAACATTTGCTTATACGGAAGTGTAGAAAAATTATTGAGACGTCAAAGTTTCCAATGGCTTGATTCCCTTGGACATCTCGGATCGTACAATCTTGTTGTTGCCCATCGGTGCTGAATGTGCTTCTACTTTAGGTGTATACGTCGCATGGGCCCACTCTTATAGCTCCTACATGGTTCATCTCAAGAAAACTCTTTTCTGCGGTAGGCGGTTTCAAAGACGACGTGCGCTTTGGGTTTCCCGAAGATCTCGATTTTTTCTACCGTGCATTAGACATCGATGATGTTGCATTCTCTAAAGTACGTTATTTGCAAATCCGTAATGCATATATATTGCTTTCGTCTCTTCAGGTATGTAAACCCCTAGTGAACTATCGTTCACTCCGGATGTGCTTCTTTTGGTGTTTCCGAAGCTGCTATATGGAACATGCGTGTTAGTCGCTTCTGCGGTCATGTGCTTCCTTTCTGGAAAACATTCACAATTTGGAATGCTGGCAAACAAGAAAGCGATTTTTCAAGTGAGGTGGAATCTGCGCTCTTACATTCCCAAAGGTGAGTCAGTTTCGAGGTCCCTTTCCGAAAGTGATAAACAACGCGTTGTATCGTTTTGCGATGTCGACGTGAAGAAGATCAAACGAGCATGGCTGGAGGATTATGACGAAAAAGCACGAGTAGTTCGGTGGAAACTACCCATTGTTCATGTGAAGTGAGTTAGCATTCTGATGTGATTTGTGGTCAAAGGCACCGATCACCCAAAATGGGGTCCATGAGATTTTGAAAATGATTTGGGGTCCATGAGACGTTGAAAATTGAGCCAAAAAACATCTGGGCAGCAAATGGAATAGGTACGTTTCGTATCGGAACAAATGACTAATTTGCTACTTCTTTTTCGATCAAAAACCGTATGTTTTGGTTTAGGCTGCGTATTAGCATCGAAAGAATGTGGCAAGATGCCCGTGACATCTTCGCTCAAGTTCGTGAAGCTACCTCGGAATTCGAAGATGTTTGGATGAATATAGCTCATGTATATATCGAACTTGGACAATATGTCCCTGCTTTGCAAATGTGAGTTTATGGCGCTCCTCGCTGTTTTGTTTCATGTTGCACAGAATGCTTTTTTGATCTTTTTGTCATTTTCTTACCATGTTAAAACCATATGTTTGTACTGTGGTGTTACAAGGTTCTTTTTGCAACTAGGAAATTAGCTTTTCTTTGAATATTCTTATCTCTAATTCCTAGTATGGTTTTTGTAATATGAATTAACTGTTGTACGTATGCTGGAGATAGATAGATAGATTTTTCGAAAGTTTGAAAAATTTGAAATAAATGTCTTATCTCTTCGTTCTTTCTTCTATCTTCTATCCACAAACGCTAGGGGTGAGAGAGAGGGGGTAGAGTACGGGGTGAGGGTCGCGCTAAACTCCTACCCGGGGGGGGGGGGGTCCTATTCGGCTTATTTGGGTGGGGTTTAGAGACAAAATTGGAGTTTGGAGCTTAAAGGCAGCGTCCAGGCAAGTCTGGACCTATGGGTATTTTACATGGAAAGTACTTTTGGGGCCCTAACTAAGCCATTACCCAACCGGCAGCTCAAGTAGTGCTCTAACGCCTGAGATATTCTGCTCGAAACCGGACCCCGCGACCGTGTTTCGCATGGATTCATGGCGCAAAGCGCGGATCCTGGCGCGAAACTGCCATGAATCCATGCGAATACGTTCGCGGGGGGTCTGTTTCGAGGGGAATATCTTCGCCATTAGAGCACTACCTGAACTGCTGCTTCGGCAGTGCCTTAGTTAGGGCCTCAAAAATACTTTCCATGTAAAAGCCCCATAGGTCCAGATCTGCCTGAAAGCTGCCTTTAATTAGGGCTAATTACAGTATGCCGCGATCGGGGGGCTCCGGCGCACAAAATCGGGGGGCTCCGGAGCAGAAAATGGGAGGTATCCGGAGCAGAAAATGGGGGGTATCCGGAGCAGAAAATGGGGGGTATCCGGAGCAGAAGATGGGAGGTCTCCGGAGCAGAAAATGGGGGGTATCCGGAGCAGAAATGGGAGGTCTCCGCCGGAGAAATGGGAGGGCTCCGCCGGACAAATGGGAGACCCACCGCTGGGGATACGCCGCAACCCTGCCATTTCTCCGGCGGAGGGGTCCTATCCGCTGTCTGAGTTCATAGGGAGAATAATGCAACAATAAAACGAGGAAATATTGTAGTGAACACGGTGACGATTTGAGAAAAGTTAAAAATAAACTATTCTAAAAGATTCGGTGCTCTATAGCTTGCTTCCTCTATCAAAAACAATTTGCTCGCCTTTTTTCTTGTGAGTTAACTTAATTCGTTGCACATTTACATTCCGTTTTTGGCCTTTGTGCACATTTACTCGAAATAGTTTTATTACTCACTAACAATGAAAGCAGACGTGTTTGGTCGGCGCTTATCAATTAATCGCTGCTTCGTCAGATGCTTCTCTATCATCACCAAGCCCGATGAATTCTTGGTTTCATGAGCGGAGAGTAGAAGGAAGTAGATAATAGTGCAAGGTACAGGATGACGTGTAGAAAGCTTGATAGAATTTTTCCACGTACAATCTGCCAAATGCTCTGCAAATATTTTATGCTCTAATAAATCTATGCACAATATTCACTGTAAAATCTCTTTAAGAATTCACTAATGAAGTATACGGTGTTATGAAACAGATTTGATGACTAGAAAGGGAATTGACGACGATTGAATTTCACCTCAAATGAATAAGATATTCTTCTTCTCCAGCAGAAAAAAAAACAACAAAGAACTTCGCCTTGGCTTTGGCTCTCGCACTTTGCGGAATGTTTTCGTTTTCAGATACGACATTGGTGCCCAAAGATAGAACCCCTGATGTTTTTATGTAGAAATCGTCGCTATGAACCCGATGCGTTTTGCAAGAAAGCAGAAATTTCACCGTTTTTTCTCAATATCAAAATTCCCCTACTTTGATGATGAGAGCATACTACGGTTTTATTATAATCAAAGATTGTTATTGACGTTTTCCCACAAAGCTGTCGCAAAATTCTTTGCACCTTAGCACAGCTTTAACTTCGATCTATGGCCTAGTATCAAACATTATCTCTCTTTCTTGCAGCTGCATTTTGCTTCAGAGAAGTTTCTGAAAAAGCTGGAAACTTTGTTACAAACTATAGGTGAGTTAGAGTCGATGTTTTCGAATACGGAAATTGCGTTCACTCCTAAATTCCATGGTGCAGAAATTATTGTTGTCAAGCTGTTTGGAATAGCCACACAAAACCAGCTGGGAATTCTATTTTGATCATGTCACATAGAAATTCAAGCATACGCCGATTTAAGTACTTGAATTCAACGGTCTTCTTTGGAGCTATAAGTACGAGAAGAAGCAATATCTGTACCTGTCAGATAAATACGCATGCTTATGCATCCGATTGCATAGTAGTAAACAGTTTCTTATTGAAGTAACCCACACTTCCCGCTATTTAGTAGTGGCGGTCCCATTTCCGTTCTGGGAAAGGGGGGAGGGGGAGGAGAGGGGCGACAACAATTTTTCTCGTGTGAAGGTGCTGGCGTTAGCCTTGCACTTCGAAAAAACTTTTTGAGACAGATCTCAAAAAATTAAAAATTAAAAAATATTCAGCAGGAACTGACTACACTGTCCAAACTTTATTCACGAAACCCAACAAGTTGCTCGATAATGGAGCGTGCTTATCATTGAAGATTTTGAGTGTCTAATTTTTCGAACGGCAATGAATTCGCAATGAAGCAACGATGCTGAAAGTTTATACAAAAACCGCGATCCATGGTTTCTTTTGTACGATCTGATCAAGGCTGAAGCCAGTCATCTAGAATGGTGTAGGTCCGCGAATTCGAGACAAGGATGCGTTCAATCAGTGTGGACAATCTGTTAGGTTGTTCCAAAATCTCTTGCGCATCATTTCGAAAAATCATAACTTCCTTGCCACTAGATAGATTTCCTTAAAATTATTTTTTTTGAAAGAGGAATCCATGCTCTTTGAGCTGTACCTCAGCCATGAATTACTTTGAAAAAATCCGGGAGTTGAAGCAGCTGAAGGAGATCAGTCAAGACTGACATTTTTCGAGCTGGCATGAAAAGTTCTGGAAGTTTCATACATCGCAGCAAAGACTGAAACAGTCATAAACTTAGGTTTTATGAGCTTCTTTTCTAATTGAGCAATATTCGCGCCAATCGAGAGCAGATTTGATTTTCGTGAAAAATGCACCCAAAGATACTTTCGATTGGCATTTTGCTCACAATCAGCTAGGAAGGGGAGCTCGTGAAACCTATGTTTATTTCGGTCTCTGCTGCAATGTTTGAAGTTTTTTTGCGCACACTCAAAAATTGCAAAACTGATGTAATTTTCATATTGACTTCTAACTTCCGAACTATCTCATAGTAATTCGCTGAAAAGGTACAACAGTGATGCGCAAAATTTTCTCTATCAAATGAAAATACTTCCAGAATTTTTTGTGATCCTGCTCGAAAAATGCCAATCTTGACTGATTTCCTTCAATTGCTTCTAACTCTCGAATTTCCTCAAGCTAGTTTATGGAGCAGGTACAGCCGTAAAGAGGATAGAGTACCATTCCAAATAAAAGTAATTCTAAGAAAATCAATAGTGTGGCAAGGAAGTTGTGGTTTTTTTTTTGAAAATGATGCGCAAGAACTTTTGAACCTAGTATATAATCTCCACCATACCTTCGATAGTCTAGAGACAGGGCGTCAAAAGTGAAGGTTGTTTGAACATCTGACGTCATAAATAGTGAATGTTGTTTAAAGATAATCAGAAAAGAGAAAATGACGTAAAACAGATAAAAAAGCAAAAACAACTGTTAAAAACCGGATAAAAACGCTTTCATTTGGCTGCTTTTCAAGTGCAAGTTTTCGCTCCAGGACCAGCAATTCGCAACACGGGGTTTTGATTTCTGATGCGTCCTTTGAATTTTTACCCGCGCATTGACGTTCCTGTTTCCTGGGACGTTGTCTAGATTGTTGCGCTTATTGTTCTGAGCAACAATTGCCCAAGCTGAAAAAAAATCGATGCGAAAGCACTGAAACACAACTAGGTAAAGAAAAACGCATTTTTTACGATTTTTCGCAAAAAATTCCACAATAATCAGAGAGATAAATTCTGGGTGGTTGTCTGCATTATGAACAGAAGCAATTTCTATAGAATGCACGAAAAAACCGCGTGAAAATAGTTAAACTAGGAGAAAAATAAGAGATTTTCGAAAACAAGGTTTTTGCCGGATTTCTCGATAAAATCAAAAAATGTGGTTATGGGACGTTGTCAGCGTGAAAATAGAGATCAAGAGCTTCAATTTGACATATGGCTTGCTAAAATTGGGTTCGAAACAGCGAAGAAAAGGGTACCAGAGCCAAATGCCCCGCGCCCCGCGTTTGGGGTAGCGAGGTAGCGCGCAGCGCGCGGAGGCGCAGACGAGCAGCGGAGACAGACCAGAGCCGACGGGGCATTTGGCTCTGGTCGTAGATCTCCGCGGGGTCTCAATGAAACCCTGCAACATTATATATCATTCTAATCGTCATGACACGACAAGGAGAACTGACAACGTCCCAAGCTTTGAAAATCACTCATTAACGAGATAAACCAGCGTTTTCGTGCGCGTCTCTGCGCAAGATTTATGCGCAGTTTCTCGTTTTTATTCAACTCCAACAGCTTTCCTAAACTTCTGTAACTCGATTTTGGTCAACTACGAGGTTAACTAAGAATTGTTGTCCTTAATTCTGGCGAAAATCTCACAAAAACCTTCCTTTTGAGGTAAAAAAGGCTATGAAAACGCAAATTTTCGGTTAAGAGAGAGAGATAAGCTAACGATATTATCCCCTTCATTAACATTCGTTCCGATATAGTCAGGATAAAAACGTGAAGGTTGTGTCCCCCCATAGCCCTCAAAGTGAAGGTTACCAGAGTACGTGGCTCTATGTATCGAGGGTA